CTCCTGAATAAATTGGGAACATGTGAGTCTTGGGAGAGGGTAGAAAGGAAGGGGAAGAAGGCAGGGAAGTGAAGGAATGAGGTGAAGCCAGCCACCAAAGCTGTAGCTTTAATCCTAGCCATATCACTCAGCATATTAAAGACTCATGTGCTCAGAAAAAGATAAAGATATACATTAAAGACAGATTCAGATTAAAAAAAACTCTAAACAGTGATCTAATTTTGTCTCTATTAGTGCCTGCACAATTGGTGCTGTTCAGGAAGTTGTCTCCTGTGCCAATGAGTTAAAGGATATTTCCCACTTCCTATCCTATCAGGCTTAGTGTATCTGGATTTATGTTAAGATATTTGATCCACTTGGACTTGAGTTTTATCTAGGGTGACATATATGGACCTATTTGCCTTAAATTAATGCCAAAATTAAGTTAGACCAGCACCATTTGTTGAAGATGCTTTATTTTTGTCATTGTATATTTATGGATATTTTAATCACAAATATATTGTCCTTAGGTATGTAGATTTACATCTGGGTCTTCAGTTAGATTCCTTACATCAATGTGTGTGTTTTAATGCCAATACCATGCAGGTTTTTAATTATTGCAGCTCTGTAGTACAGTTTGATATCAGGGATGGTGATACCTCCAAGAAGTTCTTTTATTTTATAGAGTTATTTTAGCTAGGCTGAGATATTTGCTTTTCCATATAAAGTTGAGTGTTATTCTTTCAAGTTCTGCAAATAATTATGTTAGAATTTAAATGGAGATTGTGTTGATTCATTGCATTGCTTTTGATAGGATGACCATCTTTGCTATGTTAATTCTATAGATCTATGAACATGGGATATCTTTCTATCTTCTGATATCTTCAATTTCCTTCTTCAAAGACTTATTTGTTATTATATAGGTTTTTCACTTGTTTGGTTAATGCAACTCCTAGAAACTTTTTTATTATTTGTGGCTATCGTTTTTTTAACCTGGTTTCTTTCTTATTCTGTTTGTCATTTGCACAAAGGAGAGATACTAACTTTTTAAACTTGTTCCTCCACCTCACTGAAAGTGTATGTCAGCTGTAGATCTTCCATGGTAGAATGATTAGTATCACTTATATATACTATCATATGATAGTATACATTTGTAAATTTTGAATTTAACTTTCTCCTTTCCAATTTGTATCACTTGATCTCTTTTATTTGTGTTATTGCTCTGGATAGAACTTCAAGTACTACATTAAATAGATATGGATAGAGTGGACCTTGTCTTATTCCTGATTTAATTGGAATTGTTTGAGCTTTCTCCATTTAATTTGATTTTGACTATAGGCTTGCTGTATATTATCCTTATTATGTTTAAGTATGTCATTTATAACCTTTATCTTTCAAAGACTTTACCATGAAGGGATGTTGGATTTTATTAAAGCCTTCTGAAGCATCTAACGAGATGAGTATATCTTTTCTTTTAGTTTGTTCATATGCAGGATCATACTGACATATTTTCATATGTGGAAACATCCCTGAATCAATAGAATGAAGCCTACATGATCATGATGGATTATCTTCTGATACGTTTTGTAGTTTAGCTTTTATTTTATTGAATATATTTGTATCTATGTTAATGAGGAATATTGGTCTATAATTATCTGTCTTTGTTGGGTATTTGTGTGGCTTGAATATTTGGATGACTGTGGCCTCATAAAATGAATTTTGCAAAGTTCCTTCTGCTTCTATTATGAAGAATAATTTGCAGAGTATTGACATTAAGTCTTATCCGAAAGTCTGGAGAATTATGCCCTGAAACCATAGGGCCTGGCTTTCTCTCTCTCTCTCTCTCTCTCTCTCTCTCTCTCTCTCTCTCTCTCTCTCCCTCCCTCCCTCCCTCCCTCCCTCCCTCCCTTCCTTCCTTCCTTCCTTCCTTCCTTCCTTTCTTTTTTTGGTTGGGAGACTTTTGATAACTGATTGTATTTCCCTAGGGGAATATAGTAGGAGGCTGTTTGTTCATCCTGGCCACCCAGAATAGAAATAACCATACAAAAACTTTATTAATTAAATCACCACTTGGCCCATTAGCTCTAACTTCTTACTGGCTAACTCTTACATCTTAATTTAAACCATTTCTAGTAATCTGTGCATTGCCACATGGCTATGGCTTACTGGCAAGATTCCAACCAGTGCCTGTCTCTGGCGGAGCTACATGGCTTCTCTCCAAATGCCACCATCCTGCTCTTAGTACTCACTTTAGTTTTCCTCTTCCTCTGTTCTGCACTGCTCTGCTATATGCTCAAGGCAGTTTCTTTATTCACCAATGGTATTCCCAGCATACAGAGGCGAATACCACATCAGTTATAGGTTTATTTGATTTGTTTATCTCATCTTTATTTAAGATTGCTGAGTGGTATCTATCAAGATGCCCATTTCTTTTAGATTTCCCAATTTTGTGAAGTACATGTTTTTGGAGTATGAGCTAGTGATATTTATGTCTGTTGTTACGTCTTTCTTTTCTGATTTTGGTAATTTGGGTATTTTCTCTTTCTTTTTCTCAGTTTTTATAAGGGTGTGTCTATCTTATTGATTAAGCTTTTATTTGGTTAATTCTTTGTAGTTTTCTCAGTGTTCTTTTTTTATTAACTTCACCCCTGGTTTTGACTATTTTGTGCTTTTATTTCTCTTTTGGTTCTAGAGCTTTCAGGCGTGCTGTTAGGTTACTAATGTGAGATCTCTGCAATTTTTTATGAAGGCATTTAATACTGTGAACTTCCCTATTAGCATCACTGTCATAGTGTCTCACAGGTTTGGGTATGTCTCACACCCATTTTTATAGAGTTTTAGGAAATCTTTATTTTCTTTATTTCTGCCTTTACATAGTGGTAAGGAACTAACAAGGCTCCATCTATGAGACATAAAGAATCGATGTCAGCATGCAATTTTTCCTCTCATATTGTTATATAGATCAGAGAGGCATAAACTATGTTTCCCCTGCTTCAGCCTTGTAATTAGCTGGGATTTCCACCCTGCGTTAACTGGTAAATGCTTTGTTATTATTTATATCCGTATTTCTAATTTGAGATGTGTTGTTATATTCTTTGTATATTCTCAAGGTAACGATGAAGTCATAGATTTAGAAAGGTTTTTTTGATATATTTGCTGTTCTGTACAGGAAATCATAATAACCCAAGACTTTCTAAGAAGCTCTGATGAAAGGACAATGGTAACTTTAGTTCCGTGTTCTTGTCCAAGATCAGACTTGGAGACAAGTCTAATGTTTGGGCCAGTGTTTTTCAGGAGTGGATGTTGCAGCTTCTGAGGACAGGACTCTGCCTTCTTGGTTATGGTTATCATCCTTAGGAATATGTTTGAGGTTTTCCAAGTTCTCTTTTCAAATATTGTATGATTGTCTCTCTGCTAACCTTGACCATTGTCCCATTGCAAATAGTATACAAGACAGAGTAGTTCTTAGTATATTTGCTTGGCATGAGACATTGGCTTATTCAAGAACCTCTGGTCCAATTATTTCTTTTATTGTCTTTAGTTCTTGTCCCTGGTCTTTCCAGTCACTGCTTGGGACCCTTATTACTGCTTATTCCTACTAGTTCTGAATTTTCCACTTTCATAGCACAATGGTCTATGAGTATTTCATCATTCAATTTACAGCTTTATTGAGGTATAATTGACCATAGGTATATATTCAGAGAAAATATTTTTGAACTTTGTGTATACATATTTACATGTATATACAATAGCGATTAATGAAAAAGGGTCATAAATTTGAAAGAGAGTCTATAAGGGTCTATGGGAATGTCTGTATGGAGGAAAGGTAAGGAAGAATTGCTGCAATTATAATCTCAAAAGTAGAAAGAAAACAAATAAAAGCAGAAAAAAACCAGAAACTTCCTTCACTCCTATTGTCTTTCATTTTATCTATTGAGTATTGACCAAGTATTTGTCTTATTTATAAAATGCTTGGGGCATTTCTCATCTCTGTCTCAGAATCAGGTGAGTCCCCAAAGTTGCCAAAATCCCCAAGTTACATTTGCAAAATTGCTGTTCACCTGAGGCAGATATAATTTTTGACACCCCTGAGTACTCTTTCCTCCATTGAATACAGAGACTAGATCTCCCTGAATGTTTAAAGAACAGAGAAGTCTCTCAAGTTAAACTTTTCTGCCTGAGAGATGCGACATTCTGCTGCCTCTGTCTAGGAGTCATGATGTGCAGTTGGGCATAGGTCACTTCATCGGGCTCCTTGGCTGCAGCAATCTGGAGTGGGAGAAGGTAGAGTAAGTTCTATATTCAGCACTGGGAGACTGGGGGTCTGGAGAGGTTATGACCCACTGGATGATCTCTTACTTGGTCTTCTTTTGCATTTCTGTCCTTGGATTCTAGTAATCCCTTTGGCATGAGGGAAGGAGAGATAGGCTCTGCCCTTCTGAATCTGGAAGGTTTAACCTGGGCATATAAGTCTTTGGGGTGATCTTCTTTATGCTGGCTCTGCAACAAAGAGAAAGGAAATCACAGGAAATGTATTCTGGTACCCCAGACGCTCTACTCCCACTCAATTTCCATGGATTAGGAGAGTAAGACTATAGACATTTAACTCAAACGATGCTATTGCTGGTGGGGTCTTCTGGAGCTTCCTAATGACTCTAAGTGCCTGACAGTTTCCTTCCTGAATTTCTGATGTATTATCCTGGATGGTGGCCTCACTTAATGGGCTCCAACGTTTGGAAAGAGGATGTTCCTTCTGACATAACACATGCACCTGCCACATCCTGCTGAGATATGCTAGTCCATTACATATTTGTAGTAGCCTCTACACTCGGCCTTCTCCTCAGAAGGCTTTTTTCAGCCCTCCATTAAAATTCACACTGGTGATCTGTTCCCATCAGATCATCAAATCAACCTCAACTAATTTCCTCTAATTCATTTCCCTCAAGCAATTTGCAAGGCTCACTCTCTCTGTTATACCCAAGAGTTTGTCCTGGTGAATGGGGAATTCTGTTATCTGCTGTATCTGCCATCCCCACAGTAAGCCTAGTCAAGAATAAGATTCAGTGACCTTTATTTATCTCAATAAAAAAATATGCCTATATTTAAAAAAAAAAGAATAAGATTCAGGAACTAGGAAGAGGAGTCAAGCCACATAGTGGTTGTTAAGCAAACATTATTGAATGAGTTTGCTACCTAGTGCCCATAATTTTAAAAAGCCAAGCAAGAATGCACATGCCTAGAACCCAAGCACTGGGGAAAATAAAATGGTGCCCAAGGTTCAATACAAATGATCTAGCCAATCAATGAGCTCCGGTGTCATTCAGAGGTTCAGTCTCAGAAAATAAAAGAAGCCATCAAATGTTGACTTTTATCATAGTCTGTGTTTATACACATATACACAAAAACATCATCAGGTACAGAGTTCTTATATAATTCTTGTGTTTTGTTCACTAACTTATTAGTTTTACTGCTAAAGATTAAGCCTTATGCATCCAAAGTAATCACGTTACCATTAAGCTACAACTTCAGACACTCACATTGTCTTGAGACTCAGGAAGTTGCTAGTAAACAGTCTGATGCTGAGGAGTCAGAATGTAGGGGTCATATGCTCAAAACTAAACAAAGCAAGGAGAATGTCATAGCACACAGAGGACAGGCGCTTCTGGAATCAAGAAGCCAGCTGTGCATAATTCTGAGGGCTGAAAAAGGGACAGTGATTGATCCTAGGGTAAACTGAGTCATAAGTTCATAGCATTGAGGAAAAGAATCTTACCACACTGGCCAGCTTCTCACGCTCTGTAATCTCTGTGCCCTTCACAGCAGCATCTGTCATAACAAAACACACAGGTCTTCCCATGGCCAAATTCCTAGGACTTCTCACTGCCCCAGTTACCTGGCCTCTCCCAGATAGCAACAGAGAAAAGGGAATGTGGTTGAAGGGTCCATAATTAAGTGAGGGGGAAAAGGTCCATAGTGACTTGGTGGCTCAGAGAAGTGACCCAGAACCTCTACCACCCGTCTAATGCTGAGATCTCAGATATCTCCCTCCCAGGGACCATATTTGTCTCACACAAGATTTCTTCCTGGATACCAGCAGTTGGCCTAGAGCTGGAGAGAAAGGAGAATGTCAAATGGCAATGAGGTTAGTCAGGAAGGTTTGTAGGTCTAGGTTGCTAGCCTTGAGTTACCTCATCAGGATGCTTTTGTCCCTGATCACTGGCTCTGGAGCTTCTGCAGGATGTTGCAAGTTGGTCTCTGTTTGGACTGCAAGAAAGAAAAGAGTCTCAGTCATGAGGGTGGAACATTCTTACCTAGCACTTTCAGGGAAGGAAGGGGCCTTTACAACTCATTGCTTATGTTTATGTGTTCATATGTTCCAGGATATGGAATATCTCATATGATACCTGATATTTCACAGGTTTCAAGATCATATTGATGATTCGAGTTTCAGAGAAGTGTTTCTAAGGTGACATGTCACTGTCTGGGCTTTCCCAAGACCACACTGAGCCCCTGTTTGGAAATCCAATAGGGGGTACCCTCTACGCCCCGAAACCAAGACCACCCACACCCTACTCACTTCCATTCCTGCATTTGTTCTGGTGTCTCAGTCTGAGTAGAAGGAAGAGGGCAAGAAGGAAGAGCAAAAGGAGGAATCCCACAGAAACTCCAATCAAAATCTTCGAATATCTTGCCAGCCCTGGGATATAGGACACATAATGAATGAGGAACTGTGTGATAGGCCCATACTGATTCTTTGTATTCACTACCACTTACCCTCATAGCTATGCAGTGTGAGACTGACTCCCTTTACTCTAGTCAGTTTACCTGCTGGTCACAGAGCAGGAGGACACAATGCTGTGTGATTTAACCTAAGAAATCCAGTCTCCAACCTTATTCCCTACACGAAACTAAGCTGTATGAACTGTAAGGAAGGAGCCTGAGTACCGTGAACTCCTGGTGTCACATACCCCTACACAATGTCACCACCACAGAGTCAGATGGAGCAAGACAATTGCAGAAGTGGTTTCTAGAGAATTTCTCCCTATGAGAAAGACACAGATAAAGTCAGCACTAAAGGAAACTTAACATCTAGTCCAGGGCTCTCCTGTTTACACTTGTAGAATCACACAGTAGAAGGGCTTGGCCATATGAACCTCTCAGAAATGACTGTAACTACCGTATAACTTGTTTGAATCAGACTCCATGGGGTGAAGTGAAGAATGCATGGGATAGGGAAATCATGGGAAGTTACATCCTGCCTTCATTTATATACTTCTCCTAGGAAAAATCTCAAATATCACTCTTTTTTTAGAATGACTTTATTACATCCTAGTCTGTGAGTCTTTCTGGTTATAGAGATCATGTTGTGCTCACTGCTTGAATTCCTGGTCAACATACAAGCTTGGTATGTAAATGAAGACTTACAGGTGCTGGTATAGAAAAATCTCCCTAGACAGGAAAATCTATGGTATGTGCTTTGAGGCCCCCAGGAAAATGTTAGCAATTGGATGTATTCAATCGAAACCTGGTCTAATTATCTCAACTCTTCTCAGTCTTATGTCTACACCGAACCCTCTCCATAACCTTCCAGCTGCCTACCTGAACATTCTGAATCCTGCTGAAGAGGCTGAAATGGGCATTACTTGAGGAATTCCAGTTTGCCTCTGTATCATTGACTAGGGAGCCCTTTATGATTAGCCCTATTCCCATCCCAGTAAAGAGCTTCCAAGGTCAAGTATTCATTATTACCATCTGATCTCACACATTACAGGATCATCTCACCTGAGACTATGATCTCCACAGGCACACTGGAGTGCGACAACAGGTAAGGGGATGAGTTATTAGAACCAAAGCATGTATAGATGCCCCCAAGGGCTGAGATTTCAGCACTCATGGGGAATTTTGCCTCATATTGTGAATCTTGGTACTTTGATAGTTGATGCATGTAGGAATGGGATGCACCCTTCTTGAACAGAAAGAAACTGTCCATTGGGATTGATGACTGACACAGCAGGGTCACATTCTCTCCTGAGGACACAGTGGTTCCTGGATGCACTGAGAGGTTGGGTGTGACAAGAAATTGTCCTAGAGAGAGGAAGACTGAGTGAGGGATTATAGTCATTGTTCTGAGGTTCTCATTCATTACCTTGTCTCTATGTTTTCTCTGAATGCCATTCCTCTACTCCTGTATCCCAAGATCTATTCCTCCTGAGATAATCTTCATCATCTTGATCATCAACCACTGGCATCCCCAAAGTTGAGCCTGTTCAGAGTCTGGGTCCCTAAGAGAATGCACTATGTTCCTCACCTGTGATCAGGATGTCCAAGGGGTCACTTGGGGCTGACCACTCAGAAGAGGAGATGTATGAACCATGGCATCTATACCGGCCGCCAGTGGAGAAATTCACAGAACCTAAGGTGAAGTTGGCATGAGACCCTTCCACCTGAGTAAAATGGGCAGACATCTGTGGGAGGTCACTTCTACCCTCCTTGGACAGAGCAAATCTGTCATAACTCGTGTCTGAGAAACACTGGAGGGTCAGATCCTCTCCAGGGGCCAGGACAGGTCCTTGCTGGGTCAGCAGGGAGGGCTTCTTGGATAACCCTGGAAGAAGGATATGTAGAAAGTCATCCATCTGGCTCTTGCTAAACATTCCTGTGCTGGCTAGTTTTATGTGAACTGACATAAGCTAGAGTCATTAGAGAAGAGGAAGCATCAGCTGAGAAAAAGCTTTCACATACAGGCTACACAGTCCTGTATGACATTTTGTTGAGCAGGGACTGATACACGAAAGCCTCACCCATTGTGTGTGGTACTACCACTGGGCTTGTGATCATGGTTTTTATATTAAAGCAGGCTGAGCAAGTCAGTAATCAGCACCCCTCCAGGACTTCAGGTTCCTGCCATGTTTGAGTTCCTCTACTGATTTCCTTTGAGGATAAACAGTTCTGTGAGACTTTAATACAAACAAACCTTTTCTTGTACAACTTGCTTTTTGTTCATGGTATTTCGTTGCAACACTAGAAACCCTAAGAAAAATCACCCTCATATCCTGCTCTGACAGTATCATGGTCTCTCATGATCTGGGTCATAACAATCAAGAGCTCCCTTCAGCCATTATAATTGGAAACATCGTCAGGGGGGTACAACTAGTGAGAAAGGGTTCTCATGTCAGAAAACAATTGTGTGAATGAAAATTTTTCCTCACCTGAGACATGGATCTCCAAATGGTCACTGGCCTCTGACCACACTTGTGGGGCATTTGTATAGTATCCATAACATCTAAAGGACAGACTCTTGCTGGATGCCACAGGGATCTCAGGAAACAGAGCTGTGTATTGTCCAGTGTGTCTATACTGTGCCTTGAGGGACCTGGAGAAATTCTGATCTTCCCCAGTCACAATGAAATAATCATATCCTTTTGATGAGACACATTGGAGGGTTACATTCACCCCTGAGGTCACCACAGGACTTGGAAAAACTGACAGAGTAGGTTTATCGGGGTGGACACCTAGGATAAAAGGATGCAGAGTGAAATGATACCTTTGTCTCCAGCAAGTGGGCTGTGAATGAAAATGTTTGGGAGATTATTTCCTGAGGGAAAATGTAGAGGGCCCAATGTACTCATGCTGACAAATAATATGGGAGAAACCAGGAATGTTACTCATACAGGATGATGGTCCAATGGAGAAAATAAATAGCTGTTTTCCATCAAGAGGCTAGGAGTGGAGGTTTTTGATAATTAGGTGACCTTTCTATCTATAGAGCCAGCTCACCTAAATCCCCCAGAGTGTTTATCCTAGACTCTTACTCCCTAGACTTTATCATTACCTCTTAGTTAATAATGCCCTCCTTAAAGAAGATGTCACATGTACCTCATAGCCTGCTGACATCTACATTGTCTCAGGGACTGCACCTGATTGAAGGCTCTTAAGCTATAGAACCTATATTCATGGTCACATGTGTTTGAGTTGAGTTTTGGTGTAATTGTGCATAGTTATTCACGGGAGTTTCAATTACACCAGGAATCTCTTTTTCAAAATTGTACTGCATTTAAATATGCTTACAATAAACCACGTGGAATCAGACTTTTTAGCTTGTGAACCAGCAACTACTATGCCAGCCTGAACTGAGTTTTTCTTCTCACTTGCTGTGGGTCATTTCCCTACCAGCAGCAGAACTTGCAGTGGCCCCCACAGGAAACTGTGAAGACTGTGACCCTCGGTGTCTACTTACCTGTCACCACCAACTCCAGGGTGTCACTGTGCTGAGTCCACCCAGCAGAGTTGTAACAATAACAGCGATATCGCCCTGCATCATCTTCTGCCATGGATGAGATGAAAAAATTTGCTTTGCGATTAGTGACTGGTGCAGTTAATCTGCCCCGGGGTGCCGGGCGTCCTTCTTTATGCAGGAAGCATATTTGGGTTTCCATGTTTCCCTCACACCATATTGTCACCGGATTCCGTAAGGTGATCATAGAGCCTGGCTCAGCCCTGATCGTGGGTTTCTGGAGGGTCCCTGCAAAGAAGTAGTCAAGAGGGATGTGGGACTTTAAACAGTTGTACAGTGAATGTGAAACTTGTAGATGACCCTTGAATAACAAAAGGAGCCATGGAGCCATCTGAATATCAGTCTCTCTCCTGACCATCCCAGTTTCCATTCTTACAACCCCACTCATTGTTTTCTGTGTCTTGACTCCCACAATCTGCATGTTGTAATAGTGGCCTAATGGGTCTGACTTTTCCTGTGCTGATCACACAGTAAGGTCTCCCTGGGGAATCCTGTTTCAGGTTCCCTGTCAATCAATAGAGAGGCTTGGGCTTCCTCACCAGAGACTAGAATCTCCAGGATGTCACTCCCTTCTGACAATCTCTGAGGGTTTCTTGAATAATAGCCATAGCATCTTAAGCTCCATCTTTCGCTGAGTGTGATAGGACCCACTTGGAAACTGGCTGAAGACTGCCCAGTATATACATGCTGTGAGTTCATGATGAAGCTGAAGAACTGCTTTTCCTTGATTAAAATGAACCCATTATAATTATTATTTGAGCTACATGAGGCAGTCACAGATGATCCTAAGGTTACAACAGGGTTTGGCAGTGCATTCAGGGTGGGTTTTTTGTAGAGACCTAGAAAAGATACACATGGAATATTAAATGGGTTTACAGTCTGATTTGTCCCCAAGACTTTAGTAATGAGTAGGTATACAATAACAGACTTTTCTAATAAGTCACATCTGGGGATCCATATGATTCCTGTGTATCCACTCACCAGTCGCCACCAGCTTCAGTGTGTTACTGCCTTCTGACCTGACAGCAGAGTTGTAAGAGTAACAGGAATATCACTCTGCCTTCAGTTTTGTAACAGACCGGAAGATGAATTTTGCCTTATTGTGTTATTCTTTTGGGTGCATCTGTCCCATAGCACACACACTTGTGTTTCTCAGGTCCCCTCACACCCTGATGGTCACAGGCCTCTCTGACGTGATCAGAGTGCCTGTATCAGCTCAGATGGTGGGTTCATGGAGGGTCCCCGCAAAGCAGAAGAAAATGAGATGCATCTCTTATGACACTTGCACAAAGTTCACACTTGCAAATGGCACTTAAGCTTATTGTCAAAGGCAGAGGGACACATAAAGACTCAGTATTTCCATGGACTCTTAAGTCCCACTGTTATTATCCACCCTTCTTTTTGCACTTCAAATCCTGTTGTCTTCTACATTCTGTGAAATTGGACTAAGGAGCATGAGTTCACTAACCCTCCACACTTCAGGTTCTTCCCTGTGGTCCTCTATCAGGTCAGTTATCATTCAAAGGAAATTCTAGGGTTTCCTTACCTGAGACCAGGAGTTCTAGGTGGTTACTGGGCACTGACCACAGATGGGAGCTGTTCTGGTAATAGCCATAGCATGTGAACCTCCATCTCTGGTTGGAAGTCACAGGACCCACTCTGAAAAGGGCCTGGAAGAGACCAGTGTTTGTTTTCTGTGAAGGCATGGTACTGGAGAATTTCTGATCTTCCTCCATTAGAATGAAACTATAATATTTCTCTTGTGAGGAGCACTGAAGTGTCGTATACTCTCGTGACTTCACCACAGGACTGTCGTTGGCTGACAAGAAGACTTTGCTGAGGTAGACTCCTAGGTGAGAAGCGGAAGCTTATTCAGTGGACTCATTGAGGTATACATTTGCCCCTCTTCTGGGGTTTGAGAAATGGAACCCAAAGTGAACATATCCCTTTTTTCAAAGCAGGTCTTGGGGGTGGGATGAGTCTTCTCACCTGTCACCACCAGCTCTAGGGTGTCACTGTGCTCTGACCACCCAACAGAGTTGTAACAGTAACAGTGATATTGCCCTGCATGATGCCTCTCCACTGATGTGATGGAGAACATGGCCTTGGTATCAGGCCTATGAAAAGGTTGTCCTTCCCAGGGAGCTGGGCTTCCTACTTTATGCAGGAAGTATACTTGGGTTTTCGTGGTTCCTTTGCACCAGATAGTCATAGGTTTCCCTATGTTGATAACAGAGCTTGGCTCAGCCCACAGGATGGGCTTCTGAAGGGTCCCTGCAATGAAGTAAGTGAGAAGGAGTTGGGCATTTTGAACAGTTACAGTGAATGTCAAATTTTCAAATAATATTTAAGAAGGTCTGCAACAGTAGAAGGACACATGAGGACCCCATTCTTCCTTCAACTGCTGTGTTTCCACTGCTTATGTCCATCCCTATTTTTTATATCAACATCATATGTTCTGTGACATTGAGCACAGGAGCATGACTTCATTAACCCACCACATATCAGGTCCTTCCCAGTGATCCTGTTCCAGGGCAATTATCATTAAGGACATTCTGGAGCTTCCTTACCTGAGACCAGGAGTTCTAGGTGGTTACTGGGCACTGACCACAGATGGGAGCTGTTCTGGTAATAGCCATAGCATGTGAACCTCCATCTCTGGTTGGGAGTCACATGATCTACTGGGAACCGGGCCTGGAAAACACCACTGATTGTGTTCCATATGGGCACGGTCCTGGAGAATTTCTGATCTTCCTTCATTAGAATGAAACTGTCATATTTCTCTTTTGAGGAGCACTGAAGGGTCACATACCCTCCAGAGATCACCACAGGACTGGTCAGGGAATTCAGGGTGACTTTGCTGGAGTGGACTCCTAAGATGAAAGAAGAATCCTGTTAAGTGAATTATTTTGGCTAACATTATACCTCCTGTCGTGGGATTGAAAAAGAACTGCACATAATAAATTCCTTTCCTAAAGGTATATCTCAGTGTTCAGGAAGGGTCTTCTCACCTGTCACAACTAGCTCCAGGGTATCACTTGGTTTTGATATGCCAGCTGGGCTTTTATAGAAACAGGAATATTGGCCTGCATTATGACTTTCAATTGATGAGATAAAGATCTTGTGCTTTTCCTCAGTGTCTTTACGACTTGTTGGTACCTGAGAATCTGGGTATCCTTCTTTATAGAAATGGTATTCTTGGGCATTTGAGGGACCTTCACAAATTATAGTTACTTCAGTCCCAATGGTTACCACATTCCTTGGCACAGCTCTGAGTGTGGGTTTAGAGAGTCCCCCTGAAAAAAAAATAAAACAAAACAAGGAAAAAAAAACAAAGAACAACAACAAAAATGGGAGTTGGGTCTGAGGACATCTATCTTTAAACCAATCTCTCATCTTCAATACCTTTCCGGCAACACCAGCATCATCCCACACCAGCTCTTCTACATATCTTTTCTTCAGAGGGTACCTTTGATACCCACTGATGATGAACACCCTATGACAGCTGGAAAAATACTCACCTGCCAGCACTGGGATCCTGGGGCCCAGGCTCAGACCTGCAAGAGAGTTACCTGTGAGTGCACGCAGCTGAAGCCTGAACAGCACCTCCTCTTTCAGATCCCTTCTGAGCTACTGAGACATCCGGATGGGCCAATGCTTGACTGTGAGGTGGATTTCCTCTCATAATTGAGTTCCCTCTCCACAACTCCCTTTCTCACCAAGACAAAGCAGAACTGTGAGGGTGGAAGTCATAGCATCATCCAGTTGCCAAAAGTTTGCAAATGAACAGACACTAAGTATATGGTCTTCACAGTCTGGTGTCCCCTTAGCTTGACTATATTATACAGGCAGCTCTTGTATAAAAGAATCTGCTCTTTCTAGGCAAATGATTTTGTTTTCCCAGTGCTGTGAAGGGTGGGGCTCCAAAACATGTGGTCTCTGATTCTGTATAGTTCTTTGGCCTGAATTCTTGTTTGTGACATAAGGCCTATTTAAACTCAAGTAAGTCTCAACCTCCTACCCTTTTTCAGTGTGCTAGAATTGCAAACCCATATCTGATTGTGGTCTACTTTTGCAAAACATCTCACTTACACCAATATATATCTACTTGGATGGTCCTCTTCACCATTATTTAGCAAAAAATAATCCGAGCGCCTTCCTGAGTCAACACCCACAGCTGAGGAGGCTCAGAACTGATCTTTGTCTGTCAGACCTTCTCCTTCAATCACTCTTTCAGTCAGACCACCCACATAATGCTTTAGGATTTTTCTCAGGATCTCAGCTGCCTACCCAACCCCAGATATGCTTTGGGTATTTTTTATAAATTTTTCTTGGGTTAAATGAACTGGTACTTACTCCAGAGTATACATCAATGACAGAGACAAGATTTTACCCAAATTTAGCTGGTGAACCATTGAGTTTTATTAGGGCTTCTTAGAATGGTTTGGGAAACATTTTAATTTTTTTTTCCTTGGGACAGGTTCTACTATTTAGCTCTGGGTGTTCTCGAAGTCACTATGCAGAACAGACTGAACTTGGACACACAGAGATCAGCCAACATGCCTCTTCTTCCCAAGTGCTAGGATAATGGTGTGCTCCACTAGCCCTTGTAACATAGAAAAATTTCAGAAGTTATATTACTGGAAAGTGCTTTCCACAGTAGGGTTTTATTTGTGTATAGTTACACTGGGAGAGGAGTAATCTCAGGAGACTCCGCATTATGAACAAACACTGATGACAACAAGGATGCTAAGAGAGACATATATGGATCTAATCTACATGGGAAGTAGAAAAAGACAAGATTTCCTGAGTAAACTGGGAACATGGGGACCATGGAAAAGGGTTGAAGAGGAGGGGAGAGGTAAGGAGGGAAGCAGAGAAGAACGTAGAGCTCAATAAAAAATAAAATTAAAATAAAAACAATAAAAAGCATGAGATGGCCTGCCCCCCCCCAAAATATTGCTAGTATTTTATCTCTGAGCCTCAGCATCATTTTGAATGTCCAATATTAACCTCACTTTATACTGTTTTATGGCCTCAGGAGTGTTTCTATTCTGGAGATATGCAGGATTGTTGAACTTTTAAATTGTTTTATGATTTAGTTCGGATATATATTTCTTGGTCTTATAAATGGTATAATTGAAGCACCTTTTTCTGTTCTCTTCATTTCCCCATGGAAAACATATTAAGTCTAAATTGTAAAGGTTATCAAACCTTGACCCCAAAAATAGAAATTAAATTAAAGTTTCCAAAATACAGAAGATTCCATTTTCAACAAAAGAATGGTAAAGTGCCAGGTTCTACCTTCATGAAGAATCACTGCAGCAAGACATGATCCTCCATAGTGTGATATGGGATTCCCCTCTGTATGCTGTGAATACTATTGGTTAATAAAGAAGGTGGTTGGGCCTATGACAGGGCAGAATAGAGTTAGGTGAGAAAAGTAAACTGAATGCTGGTAGAAAGAAGGCCAGTGAGTGAGAAGCCATGTAGCTGCTGCAGGAGACAGAAACTGTATACTAGACAGAACCTTACCAGTAGACCACAACCATGGGGCAATACACAGATTAGTAGAAATGGGTTAAGATATAGGAGCTAGCCAATAAGAAGTGTGAACTAATAGGTCAAGCAGTGTTGTTACTATACAGTTTCTGTGTGCTTATTTTGGGTCTGGGTGGCCAGGAAATGAATGAGTAGCCTTTGCCAACAACAGTGAGTGTTGTAGGGTCAGAGCTCCAAGAGATTGTATCTGTAAGGCCCATGCTCTATTTATGGATAGGTATTCAGATAATTCATTTTACTGTGTTGTGCCCTCAAAGACAGTAAAATACAGTAGTTTCTACTTTGCTCTGGACATGTCTGATGTGTAGGCATCAGTTTCAGTTTGAAAGTTACACTGTACTCATCCATACCAGCAGTGTATCCAGTAGCCCACCTACATAATCCATGACATTTTCTTCATTTCAAGGTCTATTGACTGACATCAAGATTACCAATCTCATGCTGTTTTTGCTTTCTATATATGTTAGTTCAATTTTTGTTTCTATAATTTAATAGTAGATCAATTGTCATTATAAAGAAATCTGGATAAGTTATCTGATAATTTGGAAAATATACATACATCATCAGGCAGAATGCCCCCTACTCCTCTAATGAAAATGCCATTTTACTGTGTCACAGAATTCTAGAGGAGTTGAAATGAAATACCCAGGACATAAAGGAAAATCTTCATTTTTTGCTCTGAATTTTGTGTAAACATAATCATCACAGTTGCAAAGAGATACAGTAGTAACTTACAAGAATAATATTCATATAGACTTGATTTTCTTGATTTGGGTGTGATCTTAAAGATTCCTGCAACATACACACCCAAATGTGAAGTCCAATTTTAAGCATATAAACAATAATAGGCAAGACTGTTTTCACAATTCCTGAGAATCTGAGAACAAACATCTTTTCATGCTAGTTAGGGGATTGATGATAGATAAAAGTGAGGTGAACCCAAAGGCCAATTTGATGAACAAAATGAGTTTAAAGGACTACTTATAAAATGTCTATTAGAGGTTGTTTACAAGAACACAAATGACTCAAAGACTACTGACTGACGAAATACAAGCCCATAATGTTGACAGTTCATGAAAACTGGTAACCCGGAGACACCAAAGCAACTGGAAGTTAGCTCAGCAGGTTGGAGAATATATTTTCCAGCAACACAGCTCCCAGGGAGAATGACAGGAGCATCTGGGACCAAAATTGTTTGGAGTTAATGTTGGAAATAGTAGTGGGATTATAAGGGTTTAAGATGACCACCCTCTTCCTGAGTTGTCTGTGGAGTCAACAGGACCATTATGATACTTAAGGTCATAGGAGAAGGAAGTTTGGGTAAATTTTTACAAGAAAGACCTAGATGACTCATAGTAGGAAGTTCAGTCTACTTATGACCTTTAGTACCATATAATTTTGTTCTTCTGAATTCCTTGTTGCAAGACAAGGAAGTTCCTCCTACTCACTACCCTTCATCTAACCCTCAACATTCTTTCTTCTTAAACCCTTCTCTCCTGATGACAGTTTCTCATACAATACTGTAGATTCTGTGTCAATGATCGAGGTAGTGATGCACACTAGATGAATATCGCTAGTGTCCATTAAAGACAGGAGGATAAAATTTGCAATTCTTCAAACTCAAGCAGGACGCCTTACTCCCTCCCTTGTGGTAGAATGATGTTGATGTCCTTTCTGGTAGGGTTATTGGGAGACCCCACTAGTCTAGTAACATTGAGGAGTTTTAACATCTGGGTTCTAATACTCACCGTAATAAACATTCACTCTAAGGATCAAAAAATATGTCATAGAGAAACCTGAAACTTTATAATCTAGCTAAAAAATATAATTTCAAATGTATGTAATGGTGGTGCCCTGAATATATGGATAACAGCAAGCTGCAAGATATTATTAAATATAAGTTTCAGAGACAGGTATTGAGGTGACTTGAATATAATTTGCCCCCATAGGCTCACAGGGAGTGGCAATATTAAAGGGTATGGCCTGGTTAGAGTAGCTGTACCATTGCTAGAGGAAGTGTGTCTCAGTTCACTTCCTGATGATTAGAATCAAGATGTAGAACTCTCAACTTCTCTCACATATTATGTCTACCTGCATGTTACCATACTTTTCTGCCATGTTGATAATAAACTTAGCCTCTGAAGTGTTTGGTAGTCCCAATCGAAATGTTTTCCTTTATATGAGTTTTATGTGGTTGTTAGTGGTCCCTCTGATAAATAGCTGTAATTAAAAAAAAGCAAGCTTAGCAAGGAAAGTTGCATAATGTATAATTTGAAGAGAAAAAGCCTACCAGGAAGTGGAATGGAGTTAAATCCTGAATTCAAGAGATAAACAGATTAAAGAAAAGCAGCATTAAAAAGGAAATAAAGGGAATAGTGATCTCAGGGCAAGATCACACTCACCTAAGCTTCGATCTTGTGAAAAGGAATTATAGAATAGCATGGTCATATGCACTTTTAATCCCAACACTGCAGGGTCAGAGGTATGCAGATCTCTGAATTCTGGGCCTGTTTTGTCTATGAAGCAATTTCTAGGACATCCAAGAAAAGGCAGTGAAGGAAAACATTAAATACAGAAAGGTGTTGAAGATGTAATTTCAGTATGGGATCATGTTCCAGCCCTAGAAAGCAGCAAATCTTGGGAGGTCTTGTCATGTGGTTCTTACTTTAAAGTTAAAGATAAAAGAAAAGGGTTATGGAATTTTCCTCCACTACTGAGGAAAGCCTCTGAGGGCAAACAAGTGTCATGGATGTCCCTGAATAGAGACCCAGAGGAACCATTGTGTGAAGCTGTGAAGGCCAAATGTGTGTTGCCTTAGAGACCCCGAGATGATAGGGATGCCAGAGTGATGTGAGATCTGCCAAGGTTAGCTGCTAAGAGGCAATGTAACCAGTTCAAGAGAAAAAAATATGTTACAGTGAACAAGACAGACAGGAATCAGGGATCACAAGAGTACATTGACATCAGCCATGGAGATCCCAAATTTTGATGTGCCCAGCTGGTTTTTGTCTTTCGTTGGTCCAGTATTTTCTTAATATGCTCACTTTTCTCCATTATGATACCATAATATATAACCTTTGTCATTATATGTTGCATGTGTGTGATTCCTGGGGCAGCTGAGGACAGGGAACCTGAAATGGCCCTATCCTATAACAATACTGACGAATATCTTCCATATCACCATAGAACCTTCATCTGGTGATGGATGGAGATAGAGACAGAGACCCACACTGGAGCATCGGACTGAGCTCCCAAGGTCCCAATGAAGAGCAGAAGAAGGGAGAACATGAGCAAGGAAGTTAGGACCACGAGGGGTGCACCCACGCACTGAGACAATGGGGCTGATCTAGTGGGAGCTCACCAAAGCCAGCTGGACTGTGACTGAAAAAGCATGGGATAAAACCGGACTCTCTGAACATGGCGAACAATGAGGGCTGCTGAGAAGCCAAGGACAATGGCACGGGGTTTACAATGGCACGGGGTTTTGATCTTACTTCATGTTCTGGCTTTGTGGGAGCCTAGCCAGTTTGGATGTTCACCTTCCTAGGCATGGACGGAGGGGGGAGGATCTTGGACTTTCTACAGGGCAGGGAACCCTGACTGCTCTGTGGACTGGAGAGGGAGGGGGAGAGGAGTGGGGGAGGGGGAGAAGAGTGGGAGGAGGGTGAGGGAAATAGGAGGCTGGGAGGAGGCAGAAATTTTTTTCAATAAAAAATAAATAAATAAATGGAAAACAGAGACTGATAGAGAAAAAAAAAACCCTCCAAGTAAGCCTTGTTGCAAGATGGCATATCTCTCACACATACGTCCTGTTTTTAAAACTATAGAGATATTATTATAACATAATAATATAACATTATTGAGATAGAGTAAAATTGTTTAACACTTTCTACACACATCTTCATACATACACATGATAATAAAAAAAGGTCATGAATTTGAAGGAGAGTGGAGAAGAATCTATGGAAATTTATTTAGGAATGAAAGGGAATAGGAAAATGTTGTAATTATATTAGAATCTCGAAAATAAAAACAAGCAAAGAAAAACACAAAACCAAAAACTTTCTTTATTCCTCTTCTCTTTTCTCACTTTATCTGTTGGTCACTGACAAGCACTTCCCTTATTTATAAAATGCAGGGACAACAGAATCAGTGTCCCCAAAATTTTCAGAATTTCCTAGAGACTGATTATGTCTGCACAATGGTTGTGCACTTGAGACAGATTTTGTTATATGAAATTTCTGAATCCACCCTTCTCCATGGAATTCATAGTCTGGATCTTCCCAGGCTGATAGGCACCAGGGTAGGTTCTCAGGAGGGACTTTTCTGCCTGGAAGCTGAAAGTTTCACCTGCCCCTGTCTTTGTGTCAGGATGCACAGCTGAGCATAGGTCATATCATTTGATTCATCTGTTGTATCAGCCTGCAGTGTGAAAGTGTAAAAGAAGGTTTATAAGCCTGGGTTAAAACAGGTCTCACTGAACATAGCGGACAATGAGGACTACTGAGACATCAAGAACAATGGCAATGGGTTTTTGATCCTATTGCATGTATTGGCTTTGTGGGAGCCTAGGCTGTTTGGATGCTCACCTTATGAGACCTGGACGGAGGAGGGTTTTCCTTGGACTTCCCACGGGACGGAGAGCCCTGATTGCTCTTTGGGCTGACGA